GACACTTACTCTAGTAGCAAGCAACAGTAAAGTACAATCTCAGAGTTGTTTGCTAATATAAGTTCATATTTTTTCATCCATTCATTCATTTTCTTTTCGGCTTAGTCCCTTTATTAATCTGGGGTCGCCACAGCGAAATGAACCGCCAACTTAGCCAACAAGTTTTTACGCAGCAGATGCCCTTTCAGCCGCAACCCATCTCTGGGAAACATTCACATACACTCATTCACACACACACTACGGACAATTTAGCATACCCAATTCACCTGCTCCACATGTCTTTGGACTGTGGGGGAAACCGGAGCACCCAGAGAAAACCCACGCGAACACAGGGAGAACATGCAAACTCCACACAGAAACGCCAACTGAGCCGAGGCTCGAACCAGCGACCCAGCGACCTTCTTGCTGTGAGGCGAACGTGCTACCCACTGCGCCAATGTGTCGCCCATAAGTTAATATAATTTAATATATTTTTATTTCCTTTTTTTAACTAAGAAGCTACAATACAGATTATGGAGCTGAAGTTTGACTACAAAATTAAATTGCAAATTAAATTGAACGCGCAATTTCTGTCAAGAAAATTGCAACTAGACAGCATCCCTAAATCGCACAGCCCTAGGGGTAGGTTTTCAGAATGAGTTGAATGATGAATGGGTTAAATTTAGTTACGAATTCACCGAGATTACTGAATTGCCTCATTTATTTAGATAGGACTTGGGCTGTGTTCTAGTCTACTTTCAGACACACACACTTGCAAAGTTCCCTTTCCTTGTTCCCTTGCTGAAATCCCCAACACCATTTTGAAGTTCATTCCAATTCATCAAGTGAAAGAGGGAAGCTTACATGGACATACCCTCGATCTTGTAAAATTATGTCACAAAAGTGTAGTTCCAAGTGCTCACAGGTTTAGGGTTCTTCTTTTAAACCCATTCAGATGTTCCGCCGTAGTGAACAATTGCGTAATGTAATCAATGACGTACATCTGAGATATCGAGATGGAGGAAAATTAATAAGTGAAGAGCATAAAAAATTGGACTGGAATGCAGCTATGGATAAACTTCTACAATATGCATAGGTAGTGTTTTTACAACACGCCAACTAGTGGTCTGGCATGCATAATACAGGTTTTTTTTTTATCCTTTTTCGCGGATCCGTACGACAAGTCATCTTTCCTGACAATGCAGTTAGTTGTACGTAAAAATGTTCAAATACACAAAGGGGAAAAGATTACACTTTTAGTACCTTTTTTGTACCCTAAATGACTGCAAAAGTCCTCTTTACATTACCAGAGGGTTCAGTTGGGACATTTGTTTAATTCATTTCATATTGATCTCAATTTATTTTTTGTATTTTCATTTAAGGCCAGTATTAAACAATATTTGTTGGTACCTATTAGAAAAAATGTTCATTCACTAATCTAACATTGCTACTTCCTTCCATTTTTGAGGACTATGACTGCAGGTGTGAGCTGACAGAGACAGAAAGTGAGTTATTGAATGAACGACTGAAAGTTCCGTGTGCAGATTCATTGTTACTTTAGGTTTGATTAAAGTCTGAGTCATTTCTATGCAGCAGCACAAAACCAAAGTGACGGCGCGGCATTCCTTCGAGAGGCCCCGCGGGCAATGAGTGCGCACTCTGCCGTACAGTCTACCAACACAAATTAGCACGTTACCCTCGCTTAGATGCACTCGCAACTCACATTCACCCCATGCAGAATTCACCTGCACTGAGCTCCGCTCACACACTTCTACTGCTTTTAAAGGGTTAGCTCACTCAGAAATTAAACTTCTGTCATCCTTTACTCGGCCTCATGTTGAACAAAACAATCAAGCTTAATTATCTTCTGTGGAACATAAAATGAGCAGTTAGACAGAATCACAGCCTAAACTACCATTTAATTTCCTTATACAGAAACAAGTAAGTGACTTATTTAGTGTTCCACAGAAGAAAGTTAAGTAATGACAGAACTTTCTAGTTATTTATAAATTATGCCCAAAGTGCAAATTTAGCAGTTTTGTTTTTTCTCATGTCCAATATACTTTGTGAACAGGACAGGGTTAATGGCCTATACTGCAGCCAACCACCAGGGGGCAGAAAAACTGTGGCCTCACTTTTTAGGACATGTGAGACACTTGTTAACAACAGAAAAAAAGCAATTCTGTACATTGTTATAAAATTTATACTTCAAAAAAACTTAAACTAAAAATTTACACTTTAATTTTAGAAATCTGCTATCTGATGGCTTTCTCCAAAATAAACTAAAATATCTGTAATAACAATATACTTATATTATATCATATAATATTATACTTCATACTAAGATATGTAATATTGTAGTGTACTAATATATATATATATATATATATATATATATATATATATATATATATATATATATATATATATATACTAATGAAAGTATGATAAATGAGTGCACTACATTATTAATATCCTGTGTTTTAATCATATTAATTAATTATTTTGTAAAAGTGATGTTGTTATGTTGTCACAACAGAAAAATGAGTACGCGCTCATATAACAAGTATGGCATTAACGGAATAAATATTTTTTTAATAAAACAGAAAGGATTTTAGAGTCCAGGGCCCTTGGGCACACTATGAAAGCTCGCTACTGTCTCTTAACAAAAAAGTTCACAAAATAAGATGCATAACTTTCCGTTATTAGCTATTATCTTGCCCTGTGAGGAAACCGTAACGTTACCTTACATTTCCTTGCACGCCGTCTTCTTCACCAACATCTGTATTTTCTTGTCAACGTGTAATGTTGAAATAATAAATTTCCCTGTAAGTCTAAACGAACAGACATTCGTTTGAATGTGCGCACGAAAAGCTAAATTACTCAAATAAACGAAAATAAGGAATAAATCTACCAAATCTTCCCCACGCTTTACTTACACAATCCCCAACACAAACCTTCAGCACGCTTCAGTCGTGCACGCGCAAAAACCTCACATTATAATATAACACGATAACTAGCAAAACAACATTAAATGTATTCTAATAACAAACATAGTCTATGTTTCAAAGCAACTGCAATATAATTAAGTTTAATAAAGTAGTCTCTATCATCAAACACGTGCAATCAAGCACTTGAAGTCTCCCCGTAAACGCGCACCAGTGCTCCGTGCAGAAGAGGCTTGAAACTTACCTGTCTTGTGGAGAAGTACTGATATTAGTTAACGCTTGATAGCAGAGATTGAAGGTGCCGTAAGAGTAGTCCACTGCCAAAGTGCCGAGGTATGTCAGGCTAATGTTTGCTGATGCACACGCCTTTAAAGCCCAAGGGTGAATATGTAAATGGAGTCTCGTTCTCAAGGACCGCTCGGTCTTTCGCCTCTACTACAGTCAGGCGTGACTTTTCCCGGGTCTCGAATCGCACTCCCTCTGAATAAAAGCTACTTTTACCTCCTACTGTTTAACCCTTTCTCAGGATGATGATGACATGTGTTGCCTGTGACAGTCTATCTTCAGCAAATCAACCATACGCATATTGAATTGTTGTAAGGACCATGTGACACTGAATACTGGTTATAAAATGACATTTGAAATATTTAGAAAACACCTATGTTAAATAATATTTCACAGCTACTCTGTTTTTATTGTATTTTTTAAGAGAAGAAAGGCTTCTTTAAAAAAAAATAATTTTAATAAATTATTTAGGTTATTTTAAATTGTTGTTTCAAACTTTTGCAGCTATTATGTTAGATAATGATTAAATATCTACTTATGTTGTACTATATTATATACAAATTAATAACTTTATAACTTAATATTGTTATACAGATATTGAACACATAGGCTATAAGATAAATTGTCAGATTTCTAAATTAATATTAGACATAAATGTTGGCCCCTTTTGTACCAAATCATCCATTTAGCATTGCTTAGAATTGAGATTATTGATGTTTACATTGTATTTACAGACTAAAGCATACAATATGCAGTAATTCGAACAAAATCATGAAATTTTATTCAGTTCAGATGTTTATATATATATATGAGCAATATCACACGAGTAGCAGTGCGATATGGCTGTATATCGGCACTGGTGGGAGGTGTGCGTTGGCACGAGGCCGCAAGCCGAGTGCCTTAGTGCCCCCACCAGCTCCAATATACAGCCATATCGCACTGCTACTCGTGTGATATTGCGTTTATACATCAGTTTGACAGCAAAATTGTGTATATTAAAACAAAATCAAACATGGAGAGTCTCAAAAACCTTTTTGTATGAGGAACTATTTTCTTCCGTATTCAAATCATAAGCTGACAGTTAAACAGCTTATGTAATGAGTATGTAGAGTAATACACAAAGGGTAAAGAGCCTGTAGGAGTTCTGATATTGCAGAATATCGCACGGCCATCAGCCAGTCAGATTTGAGAACCAGACATAACTGTTGTATATATATATATACATTCCCGGAATAAAAGAAAAAAATACTACAGTAATTTATAGTAAGTATAACCATACCATAAAGTAGGCTAATTACATTTATAAACATTTTTAAATTACATTAAATTCATAAACACATGACCCAATACTGTAGATTTCTACAACTATAATGTAGCCTATATTATAACCCACACTTACTGTAGCCAAAGCTAACTGACAGTACTTTATCGGTTAATACAAACTTTATCATTCATTAACAAGAGTTGTAAATCGTAAAATATATACAGTACAATACACTTGAATCCAGTATTTTTTAAAATGATATTACTATAATAAATTTTTAATGTGGACCCTTTTAAGGGTTAATTTCATGGAAGTTTACTGGCACAGAATTAATATGTAGTCTGAATTAAAAGAAATTAAACTGCTACTTTCTCCAATGTAAAATATATATAGGTTTAATTCATGTATATGTTAGATAGTATAGTTATTGCACATTAACACACCTAAATTGCTCAAAGAACTGCATAAAGTTCATGGTCACGTGCGCTTGAGTGTGCGGGTGGCGAAAGTGCCGAGCTGAATCTCTTGATTGAATGAGTGAGCAGCGGAAGTGCGGAAGCAGATGTGACAGTTCACAAGCGGAGCTGCAAATAAACAATGTTGCAGTTGCATTTCACCAATGATGCTTTACCTGACAATGTCAGCACTGACTTTCAAAATCTGAATAAATTCAGTGAACAGGTAAGAATATTGTTTGCAGGAAATGAATAAGGTATACTGTGATACTAATAATGAATAAATCAGTGTATTTGTTATCAACGGGCACTGTAACGTTTGGCTGTAGTTAATTGAGCTGGATGCAAATATTTTTTTTTGTTCGTCGCGACTTCAGAAAACTGTATCTAACTTTATGTGTAGCTAATCACGTGAGATTTAACGTGACACTTAGCATTAGCTCGACTAACGCGAGCTTTTCAGCATATAAACTCTCACTTAAAATAACACGTTTTGTATATTTTTGACAACGTCGTAACTAATACGCTTGATATTTTGTATATCCATATCTTAATTTAACACTGTCCACCAGCGAAATAAGGCGCTCATATAGAGGTAAATTTGATTTTATATTCGCACATTCAGACTTTCCTCCTAATAATATCCTAAAACTATTATTTGCAAACTCTAAATAGTGAAATCATTTTAGAAGCCAATGAATATCAAAGTACAACATTGTTCAAAGTCAAATAAACAGTGTTAATGTTGTTTTCAAGTCACACTTGCATGCTAATTCCGATCGAATATTCAAAGTAACATGGTAAACAATACAGAGACTTCTAAATGAATGAATGTGACAATATAAAACCAACTTTACCTCTATGGCGCTCATATTTGTTTTGCACATAAAATTTGAGGAAATCTACAACTTCAATATACTGTAGGCCAGTAGTTCCCAAAGTGGATAGAGGTAAAGTTGGTTTTATATATAGCAGTGTCAGCTGCAGCAGATTTATTATTTAGCACCAGGTTAAACTTTCTGACACCTTTATGGTATTCAAATACATTAAAAATGTAACTGAACATTTGTGGCTGTCTCCAAAGTTAAACCAAGAAAAGACTTGTGCTGAAAAGTCTTGTGCCCACCAGTCTCTTTAGCTAAGGTTAATATTAAATTAAACAATTTAAAATAATGACGAAAACAATTTTATTTTAGTTAGACTGTTGCACTTTTTTGTGTTGTCTATATGCTCGTGTTTATATATGCCTATTGTTGTGTGCGCAATATTTATATATTTCTAACCACCTGCAAAGAATTTGGGGGGCGCGAGTAACTAGTATTGTTATTATAGGGGTCACTGGCTGAAAAGTTTGGGAACCCCTGCTGTAGGCTATTTTCCCATTTAAATGACAACTTAGACATGCTCTCTATAATGTTTACCATGGTACTTTAAATATTCGGTCTGAAATCAGTTGTATGACTTCAAAACAACATTAGCACTATTTATTTGACTTACACAAAGTTCACACTTAATTTGGTCTCTACTCTTTTCAGTTTTCATTCCACTATCATCCTTTAAATATTAAATCCAGTTAACAGTACAAGCTCACTGTGCTTGTTTTTAGTTTTTCTCAGGTTTATATGTTTTTATCTGCATTTATGAAATGGTTATTGTATTGTGTCCCTGCTGCTTTGTATCTGTTTTTATGTTGCCTCTTGGCCAGGTCGTCATTGTAAATGAGAAGTGGTTCTCAATTGACTTACCTGGTTAAATAAAGATTATTAAGAAAAAGTCTGAATGTGTGAATATTAAACTAAATTTACCTCAATCTATTTCCTGTGTTTTACAATGTCATTTTTTCCTCAGCAAGAATCATTTTGCCATTTTTTTTACAAAGCTCATCTAAATGTCACTCAGTGTACCAATAGTTTACATACCAAAAAAATCTTGTCATGCATATTTAGAACAGGATTCATTTGATCACATGTTAAAAGACTCTATTTAGAGATCACAGCGTGGCCCCACACTATTAATTATTTGTTATTTAAAACATTTATTACAGTATATTTGCGGTAAAGTTTGAAGACATTTATATGATGTAAAAAAATGTCTATAGATATTTTAAATGCACGACATATGTTTATTTGTTTATGTAAATGTTTGGATTTTTATTTTATTTTTGTCTACCCCCCCACCCCCGTACTTATTTGTGTTTATTTCACAATTTATTGTACATCTAATATTATAACAACTGTTATTACAAGTTAGTAGTTGTGTAATTAGTAGTTTGCTTTAATCTGCATGCTTCTTTACTACTTAAGGTAATATCTGGTTTGATATACCTTCATTTTAGTTTTTCACGTATCTAGTACAAATATTGATCTAGGTTAAAGCTACTTAATTTAACTTTTCCTTTTTCTTTGCAGCAATTTGTGAGTCTGACAGATATCTTATACCAGTTTCTTCTAGAACCCAAAGAGGTGAGTCCACGCTTGCATATTACACCTAAAATAAGCCAAGAAATGCATGAAAATAAAATGGCTATATAACTTTCAGTCTTTTTATTGAGATACAAACAGGACATATAAGACACATGTACACAAAATTTGAACAAGAAATAAAGAAAAAAGTATTCTGAACAAAATTACTGTCCACAGAAAAAAATTCAATGTTAATGTGACACTGGGCAGACTGTGCTGAAGTTTTCTGAAGTAATGTGTAATGTAATATCAGGCCTCTTTCAGCACTTCTCAGAGTTCTTTACCTTTAGGCTGTTGGATCCTTAATTTTCTGTCCAGATGATCTCATACTGCCCTCATAATGTTACAATTTGAACACAGTGGAAGCTGTTTCATGACTGTCTTTTATCAGCTGTTTTTCTCTCTAAACATGATTTTATTAGCAGTAGGTTTGGAATTATCGTGCTGGAATATAAAATCATTAACAATGAGTGCTTTCTAGAAGAAAATACCATAATGGATTAAAACCTGTCTATATATTGTAGAGCAATTACATGTAAATGTCAACCGTGCCATTAAAAAAAAGTTTTAACCAAAATAGCAAACCGTTTCTAGGTTTTTTTTATGTAGGCTTGTATTTTACAGTACTGTAAAAATATTCAAAAATGTCTGTCAATGTAGACGTCACATTCATAACAAAGCTTTTTTCTCATAAATGCAAAAATGTTTAATAATAAACAATAAACATTAATAAAATCAATCATGTTTGTTCTGTAGAGAGCCAACTCTTATCTTATTAATTAGCATTGTTTTTTGGGGTTGTGCAGTTTAGTTCACAGAATTTCTACAAAGTCAGGCCCGTAGCCAGCCTGGTAAAAAGGGTGGTTGTTTTTTCTCAAAAAGTGGACCATCTTGCAGTTATTCGCCTTATTTTCTATTCAAGTATGTGGTTTAAATACTGCAGTTTAATAAAATTTTAAACACTATTTTTAGCTGGAGTAGCTTGTTGGATGGTCATCATAATTACACTTTTTGATGTACCAAAAACATTTCCTAAAGATTTAGAATAAAGAAATCTAAAAAATAAATAATGTTAATAATTACTATTATTTTTAAAATACAAATTTATCACATCACATATTGTTAGGGAAAAAGGAATCTGTTATGGCTTTAAATTAAAAACTGCCTATTAAGGCCAAGTATATTGTCGATTACTAGGCAAAGTACTAACTGGTCAGCACATTCAACTTCACTGTCAGACTTGGCCACGTCAATAATAAAAAAAATATTATAATAATTATGTAAAGCTTCCTGATTTTTCTAACCTCTCTTGTAAAAAGTACATTTGAAAGTTCATATATAACAACAAAAGCCTAATTAGTATTAAAATGCACTTTTCTAAGCTTCAAATTTTACTTTTGGTGCGTCACACCTTTTTATTGGTTCATTTTTCTTTCAAGAAAAAGGTCCAAGATTTATAATAAAAGTTACTTGTAAAATGATTTCGCTATTTAACAACAATACAATTGGTCAGTAGTGAAAGATGGCTTCACTTACCTCAGATTCTTCTCGACCTTAAAGCCTTCTTAAATGCGTTACTTTCACAATTTATGCTGTCATTGAAGTCAAAAAAGGAAAAATCAGCTTATGTATGAGACTAATTCTGGACCTTTGAGCTGGGTCTTTCGATCCCCCTGAACCCCCTGAATAAAGTATGTTTATTTTCCTAATTTAAAATATAAACACACTTTTTACAGACTGATATTTTTTCCGATCCTATAACTATGTCAACAGAAAACATCGGAAAAATAGATGTTTCAATATAATGTTAACAACATACTTTCTATGTGAATTCATGTTTTGAGTGTTTACTGCAAATGTCACATCTATAACGCTGGAATTGCTCAATAGCATTTGAAATCCCATCAATTCAGGTAATATTGCATAATATATATGCACTGGCAGAAATGCAACTCAATCTAAGAAACACCAAATAATTGTAATTCTTTTTCAAACACCCGTTATTCCATCTTACTCTGAGTCTTTAATATCATGTCATAAAATGTCCATCTTTAACCAATTTTTTGATTGTACACTTATAAAGAGAGTGAGAAATAATCCTATTGTGATTCCATTCATCACTAAAACAACAAATGTATTAGTGGCCTAAAACGTTTGTGTAAAGAAAATGTAAAAACATGCTTTATGTAGTTAAAGGGATGGTTTACCCTAAAATCAAAATCTTCTCACCCTCCAGTGGTTCCAAACCTTTTTAGTTTCTTCATTCAGTTGAACACAAAGTAAGATATTTTGAAGAAAACTGAAAATCATCAACCTCCATTGTTGAATAATAAAAATACTTTGGAAGAAGTCAATGGGTAGATGTTGTCAGCATTTTTCAAAATATCTTCTTATGTGTTTAACAGAAGAAAGAAACTCATAAAGGTTTGAAACAAGTAAATGATCACAGAATTTTGATGTTTTGATGAAATAACCCTTTTCCCTCTCAGTCAGAGCGATTTCTGCATCAGCTGACGGAGTTTGCTGGAGAGAATGGGATGAGCGCAGGGCCACTGAGGGCTCTGATGAAGAGCATCCTCCTCCTGCCTCATGGTAAAACTTCTGCACCCTCCTCTTAAACAGATTCGCCATTTTAAATGTAGCTGTTGAATAATGCACTGCTCTCCTCCTGGTGATAACATCCAATGTAGACATGTTGCCTGACCTAGCAGTGACTGCTATGATCCTAATCAGAGAGAGTGATTGTTCGCTGTATTTTACACTAAGCTGCTGCATTATGCGTCTAGAGGATCCTAACATATGCAAATGGCCTTGTTGTAAATTGCCCTTGGGAGTCTGCAGCTTATGTCACATGTAGACTGACCGACCCCTCCCAATCAGTATGCATCGGTGTGCTGCTCCATTTGCATGCAATGGCTGTCCCGCTGCCTGCGCTTTTATTCATTAGCATGCAAAGGACTGGATTAGATCAGTAAAAGTACTGATAAGGGAAAATGATCAAAGTGGCTGTGTAGAATAATACTGTACAAATTTGAAATCAGTTTGGAGGTGTCTACGTGAAATGTCCTCACCATTATTCTCATTCTCAAACTTTTATGACTTTCTTTCTTCTGTTGAACACAAAGCTAGGGAATTCTGTAGGAACACAAACACTGTGGAGGTCAATAGCTGCTGCTTTCTGAACATTTTTATGTTTAACAGAAGAACGAAGCTCTTAAAAGGTTTCAAACAACTGGGGTCTGTTGTTTGTTATTGGATTACTTGATTTACTTGATTTGATTGTTGATGATCTTACACGATCCAGAATAGTTTCGTTCTTCAGAACTGATCCCGGCGTTGTGGTAACTTAAAACTGCTATGTTAATATTAACATTATGAGATTCTGTAATTTCAAGCAAATGTGATACTGAAAGTATGTACCCACTGCTAATATTAGCTTACAAGAGTGCTTTATTTAATTTGTCAAAATAAGAATATTGTAAAATTATGTTTAAAATATGACCTTACGAAATATAGAAACTATCTGTGCGTTCACACCGAAGGCAGTGAAAGCGGCAAAGTTCGCTCTGGTCGCCCTGGCAACAACGCTGTCTCCCTTCAGCTCCGGAGGCGAGAGGGTCAAAATTCACTTTTGTATTAAAAGGGGCCGTTGCAGCATATCAGTTACATTCCCATATAAAACATGCTTTCTAGTGTGAAAATGTTGCACAATGCACACTTTTTTTTAATCAAATTCATAAAACAGAAATTGAATGACTTTAATAAAAAAGTGAAAATAAATGACTTTCAGCTACTTTGATGTTCTCGCTGCTTTCGGTGTGAACGTACAGTAATACTCAATTTTAGTAACTAATTTGTACACTTTAGGTAATAATATAAACATTTAGGTTACCAATTTGGATCTTTTAGATACAAACGTGTACTTTGAAAAGGTACAACCCCATCTTTAGTACAATTTATAGATAAATAATACAATGTATAGATAGTATGGCCAATTGTCTCATTGAGTATGTTTACTTCTCATTGAGTATGTTTACATGAACACCAATAATCTGATTTTAATAGGATTAAGACAATACTTTAATTAAAAGTCTACCATGAAAACAGTGATTTTTGATTAATTTAATTTGATGAAGGTCATAATCATACTAAACAGAAATCAGATTAAGACGTGGAGTATACCGATTTTAGTCAGTGCTGTACAGACATACAAACACCGCTATCAAACTATTACCGTTGTGTCGGATTTTCGCTGCATTTTTTTGACAGGATTGTCTATACACACAGCTGTTTGACACTATTCTATGCACCTACTGAGTCAGTGAAGGACCACAGACATCTGGATCGTGAAATGCAAAGGTTTTTTTTTTTTCCATACAGCGTGCGGTATCAAATTCATTTACAACAACACTCTTCTAGCTGTTCATACTCTCATCCAATATCTCGTTTGTCATGGGGGGCGTGCATGAAATGTTCCTGAATGAAAGTGAAAGTGCCAAACTGCAGTTAAATTCGGAAAAAAAAGGAACATTTAAAAAGCAACTCATGTAAACATCTTATATATAAAAAATCTTTCCTGAGGTGGCACAGTGGCTTAGTGGTTAGCACTCACGGCAGGAAGGTCGCTGGTTCGATTTCGGCTGGGTCAGCTGGCATTTCTGTGTGAATCTCACTGTTCGCGTGGGTTTCCTCCGGGTGCTCCGTTTTCCCCCTCAGTCCAAATTCTTGTGGCATAGGTGAAGGAATTAACTAAAATGGCCGTACTGTGTATTTGTGTGTGTGTGTGTGTGTGTGTGTGTGTGTGTGTGTGTGTGTTTGTGTGTGTGTTTGTGTGTGTGTTTGTGTGTGTGTTTGTGTGTGTGTGTGTTTGTGTGTGTGTGTGTGTGTGCGTGCGTGCGTGTATGTGAGAGTGTATGGCTGTTTCCCAGTACAGGGTTGCGGCTGGAAGGGCATCCGCTGTGTAAAACATATGCTGTAATAGTTGGTGGTTCATTCCTCTGTGGTAACCTCAATCAGGCGTCTAATCTGACTAAGCTAAAGGAAAATGAATGAATGAATAATCTTTGCAGAGCACTTTTTTTGTTTAATCTGTATTCATTTGAATCAAATGCATGTGAACAACTAATTTGACATCAGCGATTTTGTAATTATATTATTATCAATGTCTACCTCCGTTTCAGGTGCTTTAAAAAGAAACCTAACAGCTGAACAGATCAAACTGGACCTTCTCTCATTAGGTATGAGTTTTCAAGTTTAATTCTTTTTCCATGTAGTTAATATTTAACAATATGATAAACTCTTACAGGATTAAATGAAGACAAGGCCAGTCATTTCTCTGACCAGGTACTACTGTATATCTGTATGATAAGTTATTTCAGTGTCTCTGTTGGTTCAATGCAGATGTGGATGACTGTAAGATTCATATTGTTTGCATCTTCCATGTATTTTAGTGGAGAGTGCACTACCCTGTTTTAGCCAGGCTGGCTGTGGGACAGACACTCATGGTCAACCAGCTTGTTGACATGGAGTGGAAATTTGGTGGTAAGTAAACGATAAATATCTGTGTAAAATCTATATTTACTATAATGCAAATAAGGATGTAAATAATATATGGCTAATTAAAAAACATGATCCTTTGCAGTTACTGTTGGTACAAGTGAGCAGCAAAAGACTGGAAACATTTTTCTACAGGTAAAACTCCTTCATTCTTTTGAAAGCCAAAACAAACAAAAGGACCAAGAACCATAGCAAAATAGCAAAATTCTACCTTTTTATTTAACAACCATATGCGGCATAGCACATCTGATTAAAGACACAATCATAAATGCAGAAGTGGTCAAAGACTTTGTTAATTAAAATATAACAAATATGTTCCTTTATGTAATACAAACAGATGTTAACTTTTTATTAAAATTGGAATTGTTAGAACGCTAACAGTAAAAAACAAAAAAAAAAAACACATGTTAGCAATTACCACCTTATTGCAGACTGTGTGGGAACGTGAGTTAACGGAAAGAAATGCAAGATAAAAATGTCTACCCTAAGCAGTGCTGGTGCACCCTGACTGAATAACACAACTAACTCTAAGGAGCTTTCAATATAATGCATCCAATATAAAGTTGAAGACAAAATGATTAGTCCTTTTGTAAAATTGCCATACTTTTTCCAATATTTCACAATTGCTGTGTAACAAAACAAGGTCATTTTCCGCAGTATTTCCTGTAATATTTGTCTACTGGAGAAAGTTTTATTTTTAAATTTTTATTTTCTTTCATGTCAAAATTATAGCCCTCATAGAATTTTTGTTTTTTTCTTTCTTTTTCAAATATCTTAAAAATGCTATTTAACTGAGCAAGGAAAAGTTCACAATATTTTCTATAATGTTTTTTTCTTATTTGTTTTATTTTGGCTAGAATAAAAACAGCTTTTATTAAAAATGTAAACATTTTAGGGTCAATATTTTTAGCCTCCTTAAGCAATGTTTATTTTCATTTGTCTACAGAACAAACCATGGTTATAGAAAAGGCTCTATTTTAATGATCTAGGCGCAAAATCTAGAGCGTATGGCGCAAAACCATTAAGGTCATGTCTGAATCCACTTTTGCTATTTAAAGGACGGAAAAATACATTCTGCGCCATTCCCATTCAGTCTCTCATTCCCTTTAAGAGTCAGTTGCACCGTGACATGGCACATATGCTATTTACATGGCGGACTTTGTAAGTGGAAAAACTGAATGAAAAACTGAACGCTTCACTAGGGAGAAAATGGTTAAACAGACCATCTGCAGTGCGAGGATAAATAGTGAGCCTCCTCCATTCAGCCTCTTTACTTTCATCTTTTTTTGTTTCAAAACAAATCTTTGCTTTTTTTTTTTTTTTTTCGAAATTCAGTTCTACTTTCCAGCAAATCAATAAATAAACAATAATAACAAAATGGGGTCAAAAAACACACATCCAAAAACGCGTCCTATTCTTGTGCCCCATATGCTGATGCATTCGACTCCAAAACCCAACAGGTGGACAAATCTAAACTTATTTTTATTAAAACAAATATAAATATGCATTTAATAAATACTACTACTAATAATAAAAACATTATACAAACTGTTATGAATAAACTGAAAAAATACCCTCAAGATGAAGGCATGGAAGCAGTGTTTTTATATTTATGTAGAAAATAATAATTTTTGTAACATTTTAGTAATTGATTATTTTTCATATGTAAAGATATTTGTGTACTGCTCTTCATTCATTGTGTATTAAGCAATGTTTAAGTGTTTGGACCTGCGTAACTAACGCGCTCTGCGCTGGACTTTAGACTAGGTTTTAGTTGATCAATGGTGCAGTCTATTTTAGTTCCTTTAAATAACAAAGCACCAATGCGCCTTAACACACCTCCTTTTTAGACCAGAACACCCATGAGTACACAAAGAGCCACAAATGGATTTGCTATTTAAACATTGTGACTGAAAACATGTAAATTACTGTTGCGCTGGTTTGAAAATTGCAACAAATCGCATCATACATGTCTTGCGCCTTATTGCGTCAAGTGTATGATAGGGCCCAATAACCAGCCTAATTACCCATACTTCCCTAATTAACCTAGTAAAGTCTTTAAATTGCACTTAAGCTGAATACTACTATCTTGAAAAATAAGCAGAAAAATATTATGTACTTTCATTATGGCAAAAATAAAAGAAATCAGTTATTAGAAATTAATTATTAAAACTATAATGTGTTGAAAAAATCTCTGTTGAACTGAAATTGGATAAAAAATATAAAAGAATTCAAATTTAACAGCAGGGCTAATAAATCTAATTAAACTTCAGCTGTACATGTATAATAATATACAATAGTTTAAATAATAATAATGTACATATACACCCCAACTATGGGATAATCTGCACAATAATGTAAAATAATAAATATTTGTTTTGAAAATAACTGAATTCAATTGTATTTCTACTGTATTTTATTATAGATACAAAGGAAACTTAAAACAGAAAAATGTAAAAGAGGTAGAAATGTACGACATAATATCACTATATTTACTATGACACTAGTCTAAAATCCCTACAGATACGCTCTAATAAGAAGAAAATATAAGTTTTCAGCATTCTATATTATAGTGTTTTTGTCCTAAATGATTGGCCGTATTTGGCTGAATGTTTGGTGTTTGTGCTTTTGAATGGTTGTGTTTGCAGTCTAATGTTTCATTTGGGGATCAAACTCTTAAACACTAACATATGTCTGCTTTGTGAATGGTTCAAGTCACGTATAAGATTATGAGGCTCATTATGACATATTTCCTTTGTTCTGACAGCTGAAACTAGTGATCAGAAAAGGAAACACGACAGAAAATGTATACATGGGTGAGTTTGCTTCAAATCAGTGTTTTTTAAGTTGTCTTGATTCGTTATATGATGTATTTTTTACTCTTTTGTTTGTATCTCTTCACCTCAGAGCTCACTTTACCGCAGTTTTATAACTTTCTTCATGAGATGGAGCGAGCCAAAGCCAGTATGGATTGTTTCAGTTAACTGCTTCAGTGGTTTGACTGCCTACTGATAAGTAAACAATTGTAATAATGTTTTCACAAAATGTTTCATGATTTCAACTATTCTCAATCTAATTCCGTAACTTGAATGTTTATGTTCTTGTATGTGAGTTTTTGATTTGATCACTTTCCACTCCTTTAATCATTTTTTGATTACGTGTTTAATAAACTTTTGATGAAATGATTCTGTCATGGAGTTCATTAGAAGCCAAATATGTGTTGTGTTTATTATTATATTAATTTATTTGCAGCTATAAGAATGATGAAGTTTTAGTTTTGCTTTTTCAAATGGGTTTTGTTCTAATGATATTTGTTATGAATTTCAGTTTAATTTTAGTTTATTTTGTAAACGGTTTTGCTCGTTTATTTTTTATAGTGCTGCACAAAGATTGATCTCAAAGAATGACGTCCAAAATAAAAGTTTCTATTGACATCAGTGTTGGGGGTAACGCTTTACAAGTAGCGCAGGTTATGTAAAAGTATTACTGTTCTAAGTAATGACTAAAGTAATGCATTACTTTTAAAAATTAAGTAATAATATTTGAGTGACTTTTTAAAATGTAATTCAAGTTACTTTTCAGTTTAGTTAATTTGCTTTTTTAAAAATAAATTGCTGAATTCAAATGAACATCACATTGAATCCCTCACTCAGTGAGAGAATGCAGGAACAGACAGAAACCAAGATAGCAGTGCCTTACATACATTTGCTGGAAATATTCTCATTATTTTGAGCACATGGAAGAAAAGGAAAAGACGATTCTATGAATGGACAGTGATTTTAGTTTTTTAATATAGGACAAAAATGACAAAAGCAGCACATTGCTTTAAACTTTGATTAATCTGTATGCAGCATGTAGAGCTCTGGAGTCCGGATGTTCTCCAAAGATGTTAATATTCTACATTAATTTTGTGCGTTATTTTTTTAAAGGTAAATAGAGGTTATACAGTGTCGTTATACGGAGGGCACGTCTATTTAAAAAAAAATTAAAAAAGAAAAGAAAAAACTCTGCAAGTTCTGAAAGAGATCAAGCCTCAGCCAGGTCAGAAAACATGACTCAAAAGTAACTTATAACTAGGGCCAGACGGAATCTGCGTACATCTTTTGCTATTTCTGCGCAGAATTTTGTTAAAAATCTGCGAATTTATGCGGACTAATTTTGAGAGTATCATAACTAAAACCTTAATATATGAAATGAAAAATAACACCTTTTTAACTTGTATTTAATGTTTACAAAGTAAATCCAATTAGATCCACTTTATTTGGTAAACAAAGCAAGTCACTTGTAAAATATATCTACTAAACGACAGAAGATATTACTTTACTAACTGTATTGTAAATAAATTATATGAACATTTTCATATTAGTCAATAATATTACTAAATTTATTTTAAAAACTAAATTAGTATAAATGTACACACATTTACACAGGTAAATAAACAGAATCAATGATGAGCTAAAATCTGCGGAATTCCGTGTGGTCCTACTCATAAGTAATGTAACGCATTACTTAGTTACCATAAAAAGTAACTAACTAATGCAACTAGTTACTTTTTTGGCAGAGTAACTCAATATTATAATGCATTGCTTTCAAAAGTAACTTTCCACCTGGACATAATATACAGCTGAAGTCAGAATTGTTTGCCCCCCTGTTTTTTTTTCTCCCCAATTTCTGTTTAACTGAGAGAAGATATTTTTCAACACATTTCTAAACATAATTTTAATAAGTAATGTCTAATAACTGATTTATTTTATCTTTAGCATGATGACAGTAAATAATATTTAACTAGATATTTTTCAAGACACTTTATACAGCTTAAAGTGACATTTAATAGATTAACTAGGTTAATTAGGTTAACTTGTCAGTTTAGGGTAATTAGGCCAGTTTTTGTATAATGATGGTTTGTTCAGTAGACTATCAAAAATATATAGTTTAAAGGGGCTAATCATTTTGACCTTAAAATGGTTTTTAAAAAAATTAATAACTGCTTTTATTCTAGCCAAATAAAATACATAAGACTTTCTCCAGAACAAAAAAATATTATCAGACATACTGTGAAAATGTCCTTGCTCTTTTAAGCATCATTTGGGAAATATTTAAAAAAGAAAAAAAATTCAAAGGGGGCTAATAATTCTGACTTCAACTGTATGTACAGTATGTGTACTGTGTATATTTATTATGTATATATAATACACACATGCATATATTTAATAAAATGTTTATATATTTAAACAAATATTACAAATTATATTTAAACAGATAATAAATATATTTAAAACATACATATCTTATGTAAAATAAAATAGCATTTGATTAATCACTATTATTGTTTGCCCAGCACTCGTTCTATTTCATTTTTTATAGTTAGTTTTAGAGTTTAGTAATTCTAGTTAAGCAGAGTTAATTAGAGGCCATCCAGCGTAAACAACAAAAAAAGATAGACCATGTTTTATATACACATATAAAAGACATTTGTGTATATAGTAAACATGCTCTTGACTAAAACGCCATCTACTGTTTTTTTTTTTTTTTTTTTTTTTCTGAATAGTCGCCACAGAACACAGTTTTTGGCCACAGAACGAGTGCTTATTAATTCTGAAAAAAAGAAGTTCTCTGTTATTCACAGTTTCGTGTGACACATTACTTTTTGTCCCACATGAAAATTGCTTACAGATTGAGGGATAAATGCAGACTCTCTTCTATCTTCATGTAATAAGGCCTCTATAAATCACTTTTTTCAGCAAATTCTATTTTCCCTACTTTTGAAAAAGACACATTTAGCATTTAGTGTTTAAAATTCAACTACTGTATGCATTCATTCATCTTCTGCCACTTTTCCGGGGCCGGGTCGCGGGGGCAGCAGTCTTAGGAGAGAACCCCAGACTTCCCTATCCCCAGACACTTCCTCCAGCTCCTCCGGGGGGATCCCGAGGTGTTCCCAGGCCAGCCGAGAGAAATAGTCCCTCCAGCGTGTCCTGGGTCTACCCCGAGGCTGCCTCCTGGTGGGACATGCCTGGAACACCTCCCTAGGTAGGCGTCCAGGAGGCATCCGAAACAGATGCCCGAGCCACCTCAGCTGACTTCTCTTGATGTGGAGGAACAGCGGCTCTACTCCGAGCTCCTCCAGGGTGTCAGAGCTCCTCACCCTATCCATAAGAGTGCGCCCTGCCACCCTTTGAAGGAAACTCATTTCGGCCGCTTGTATCCGAGATCTTGTCCTTTCGGTCATGACCCAAAGCTCATGACCATAGGTGAGAGTAGGAACGTAGATTGCCCGGTAAATCAAGAGCTTTGCCTTTCGGCTCAGCTTCTTCTTCATCACAACGGACCGGTACTTCGACTGCATTACTGCTGCCGCTGCACCAATCCACCTGTCAATCTCACGTTCCATCCTTCCCTCACTCGTGAACAAAACTCCGAGATACTTAATCTCCTCCACCTAGGGTAAGGACTTTCCTCCAACCTGGAGATGGCAAACCACCTTTTTCTGGTGGAGCATCATGGCCTCGGACTTGGAGGTGCTGATTCTCATCGCAGCCGCATCACACTCGGCAGCAAACCGCCCCAGTGCATGCTGAAGGTCCATGTCTGATGAAGTCAACAGAACAACATCATCTGCGAATAACAGAGATGAAATCCTGTGTTCCCCAAACCGGACCCCCTCCAGCCCAAGGCTGCGCCTTGAAATTCTGTCTATAAAAATTATGAATAGAATTGGTGACAAGGGGCAGCCCTGCCAGAGTCCAACATGCACTGGAAACACATCTGACTTATTGCCGGCAATGCGAACCAGACTCCTACTCTGTTCACACAGGGACGAGACGGCCCTCAACAGATCGCCTCTGACCCCATACTCCCCAAGCACCCTCCACAGAATGCCGCGAGGGACACGATCGAATGCCTTCTCCAGGTCCACAAAACACATTCAAATATGCAATACATGATTAAACATTTCACATTCGATTGTCACCCAAATCGAATAGAAATGAGTCTAGCACAACTAACCTGTCTCTGCACTAGTGGGTGAAGAATTCAATGCTGGTCAAAGTCTTCATTAAATTAGGTAGATCTGACACTAACCAATCATAATGTCACCATTAACTCTCAGCCACCACAAGCCATTTTATACTTCTGGTAAATTTTCATTTGGTTTTTCACAATTGACCTCTTAATTTACCAAGATAACCCCTGTCATCCATTAACATTGTTATGTTTCTGTCCGCTTTAAACAAACACATTCAAGCTGCTTCTATATCAGATACATGCGTTTTATGGCCAGTTTATGAGTTGACATATGCATGTGTACAGGAGGATTAGTATATATTAGAAATCATTATTACTTAACTGATGTTATAAGTTGTATCTGCTCGTTGCTGTAAAATAATATTGTTAATATGTTATTGTTATTACAGTGACATATTAATTAGTATGATAATGTTAATAAAAATAACATAATTAATGATATTCAAAAAAATTATATGTAAATAAAGAAGGCGATTTGGAGTATATTTTACACGTAAGAAGATAACATGTTCATGTTTAATTTAATGTGCTACTTGTTAGTTGTTATTATTATCATTGGTAAAATGTACTAGCAATTTTAGTAAGGTCAGATTGTTTTGCTTTCCAGTAAATTCTACTTGTTTCCAGTAAAAACTACTTGTTTCAACAAGCACTTCTGAAAAATGGGAGAAAGTTCAGTTAGCAAAGAAAATAAATGACTCAAACTTTTCTTTATAAAAGGTATCAGTGTTAAATCGCCTGTACTCAAAAGTAGATCACCTCAATCCAAAGAGTAAATCACTACAGGTAAAACCATCAGTCATATCTTATATAGGTGACAATAACTGCTATTTACTGCTATTAGTAAGCCTATTCCAAAATGTCAAAATACTACAGTAAAGCATATTATAGCCTACTGAAAGGCTACATGTTTTTCTTTCAGGATTATCTTCACGAATACGAAGGTAAGGCAATATTATATTATTATATATATTAGTATTATATTGCAATCGCCAAAATAAAAATTATTATGTTAAATATTATATTATAAAATATAATATATAAAGTTTAAATATTATATAATATAATTGTTGTTTTAGTAAAGTGTATTATACTGTATATCTACAACACTTTGTTTGTATAGTAGTATTTACAACACTTTGAATACTACAACACACTG